GGGACCAATAAGGAGTGATTATGACAGACTATCTTGAAAATGGACATACGATCACCGGCGACCATTATTGTAACCAGCTAAAAAAAAAAAAAGTATGAGAGGCTATAAAAGACAAATGCAGAGTAGAGGTAAGATCCGAAAAGGCATTTTGCTGCTTCTCGACAACGCGCCAGCTTACACTTCAAGAAAAGCTGAAGAAACTGCGCGAAAACGTGGCTATGAAATTTTGCCACATCCACCTTATTCTCCAGATTTAGCAGCCCTGTTTGATATTTTTAATTCCCCAAACTGAAAAAGGATTTAAAAGGAAGGCATTTTGAAAATGACGATAAGAACAAAGAAGCAGTAGAGGACTGGTTTTCTGACAAAGAGAGGGTCTTCTATTCACTATTCTCAAGGTCTTTTCAAGGTCATACACTGATGGCAAAAATGTATAACTGTGAAAGGCAACTAAAAACATAGAGAAAGATTACGGTGAGTACCAAATTTCAGCTTTCTACCTTTATTCCTTCATGGTCAGGTTAAAAAAAAACGTTTGGTATGCCCCTCATACTTTGTGCCTTAAACGTTTCTGTCAATAAAATTCACATAGAAATCTGATTTTATTTGTAGACTTAGAAGGTGTTGAGCTTAGCGTACGCTAAGGTGTTGAGCCAAAAAACAAAACTTCGATTTTTTTTTTACGCCAGACTGGTGGGAAAATGTCGATTTCTTCAGTGTCATTTTTTTTACGAGCGCCTGGTTTCACTACTACAATCGAACCTGCCCTGACGGCCACCTCTATAAGACCTGTACAAACGGCCACTTTCCATTTCCCCCCTTGCGTTTTTTCTATATAATTTAACCGTGTAAAACGGGCACCTGTCCAACGCGGCCACTGCCATCATATTTTAACACACAACCCCTATCACACTAAGCATTAATCTAAGACGGCCTCCTAAGTGACTCCTTTACGTTTAGTCATAAATTGTGCATTGACCCCTGGCGTTGTGGGCGAGCCGTCATAATTCAATCACTTGTCGTTGTTGTTAGGTAGTCCCTCCAACCGATCATGTTGCGTGGGCCCCTCCCTCTGTTTACCAATAGGTAGGCTACCAATTTTCAGCTGCTGGTGAGGTAAGAGTGTGATCCCTCATAACCTAATATGCCCCGCCCAGAACTCATACGCAAATCGTAAGTGAGATGAGAGGTCACTGTATACCCAGTCTGTAACAAAGTAACAATGGACGTCAACATGAACTTGTGACAGAATCGTCGCTCATTCTCCGAGTGGTGGCGACCCATGTGTTTGTTTTAACACTGCACTCGGTCTTCCTCGTCTGATACATTTCGTTTTATTGTCACCCTTGCGCAAAATCAGCAACAAAATAGAAATAACAAACAAAATACAAATCAACAACAACAACAAAAACAACAACAATCGATTGGGACTTCAGAAGGGAATGGTTTGTTTTCTTCATCTTGATCAGTCCTGCATAAGACGGCCAACAGTCTTATAAACCACTTTTCTCTTTGACAATCGGTGGCCGTCTTACACAGGTTTGACAGTATATGCCTCATATATTTTATCAGTAGCCAACAGCCAAAAAACTTGTCTTATTTAGATGGCCAAGTAAATCTCTCATCGACTGACACGTTGCGTTAAAATATATTGTCTCCTGATGCCAGTCCTAGGGTGTATAATTATAATATGCATGTAATAAACACATCGCCAATCGTTTGGCTCTAATTAGTTGAACGTTTGATTACACGTGCTTACTTAAAGAGAGAGAGAGAGAGAGAGAGAGAGAGAGAGAGAGAGAGAGAGAGAGAGA